AAAGAGGCCGTCCATTATGTGGCTGCCATTCATGCAGGCATCTGCAAAAGGAGCAAGGTTACTTACATTTTTCACAAGGTTATCGATTTAATTATAGGACAGCTTTAGAAGTATAATAAATCATGAAAAAAAATATATCAAACTATTACTGTAATATTGTTAATAATTATTAACAGTATAATTGATTATTGATTATATATTAAAGACATTAAATACCACAACAACACATTTATGTGGTAATTAGTCAAATGTTTATAATATACATTTAATAACATTAATGTACACAGAGTATTTAAATTACTAGCACAAAAAAAATATTAGCACATTTTTCCTTGACAACTAAAAGCAATAAATGTTTAAATAACTGAGAAATACTTGAAAGCTACATGCCACTGTTTGATGTGTTAATATTTATACACTACCGTTTGGTTGGTTCGTTGGTAAGATTTTGTGTTTTTGAAAGCAGTCTCTTATGCTCATCATAGCTGCATTTACTTAATGAAAACAGTAATAAAAACAGTAACAGTGAAATATTACTATAAATAAATGTAAAGATTTATTTCAATGAGTAATTGATTCCTACGATGGCAAGCATAATTTTTTTTAGCAGCCATTACTCCAGACTTCAGTGTCACCTGATCCTTCAGAAATCATTTCAATATGTTAACTTGGTTCTCAAAAACATTTCTGATCTATTATTATCAGAATTTATTCTGATTCTATTATCAATGTTGAAAATGTTGTTCTTAATATTTTTGTGGGAAAAAAAGAAAATTTTTCTGGATTCTTTTACAAATAGAAAGTTCAAAAGAACAATATTTATTTGAAATTGAATTTTTCAGCAACATTACAAATGGCTTTGTCACTTTTGATCAATTTAATGCATCCTTGCTGAAAAAAATTATTCATTTCTTTCTTTTCAAAATAAAACCTTACTGATCTCAAATTTTGAACAGTTGAGTATGTTCAATTTCATAATGTCTCAGACATGTACCTGGGCTGGTCCTGTCCTTCAATGTAGATTTGCCAAAACTTCACATATCCATCATGACTGGCTGTGGCCAAGACAGTGCCATCAGGGGACAGCGCTCCCTCACTAATGCGCTGCAGAAATAGAAATAACTCACTTATGTGCTATCGTAATTACATTAAATCTAATTTCTTAATTAGTTAATACAACACTGCAGACACAGCATTAAGCTAAGACAGAAGGACTTACTGCTGTGTGTCCTCTAATGGTGATGAAACCCTCTTTCAGGTCAGTGGCATCCACAGGCCATGAACTGTAACTGGATCGGAGGATGTCGAGATCCCAAACCTCAGCCTACAAGTACAAGAAAAAAAATCCAGTTAGGAGAGTAATAGTGTTAAAAACACTTTAAATCTAATAATATGAGGACATTTCGGAAAGAAAGTGATAAAACTGTCAAATTCCAGAGAAAACACACTCTGTCTTCATGAAGGAGTGCCAATGTCTGACACGCATCCTCTGGGTTCTCATCATTGTCCTCCGGGATGAAGGGACACCAGATGAGTCTGCGGTTGGAATTTAGTGGAGTGTCCTCAGGACTTCGGATGTGAACTAACACTTCATCTCTAAGAAACATCAATGCTAAGGAGAAATATCACAGTTCGCCTGCTCATTAGTATTATACTACAATACATGTAGATCCAGACTTTTTATATATAGAAATAATATTCATTACAATTTGGCTTTTTTGGATAAAAAAAAAAAACTTAATTAGTGGTCTAATTAACCTGCTGCTCCTGATTATTTAGTAATGAAATGTGAAAAATCTTTATCATTATTCGTTTTCATTCTACAGCGGATACTGTATTTTGCTGCTGTGGCTAGTGAGTTGCCAAATGAACATGTTTCCAGCCTCATCCACGCAGCCCAACAGGGTGGAGTCCAAGTGGGCAAAAGCAAGGTCTGTGACTGCACCTGTGAAGCCCTTCAGCAGCGAACGCTCCGTTGATCCCAGCCGCAGCACTCGGATCATAGAATGATTGTTTGCACCTGTGAGCGATAAGCAATTACAAACTATTCAGCTGAATCCAATCAACATTTTATTCAAAGGACTGTGCTAAATGAGCCATGGACAGCGTGCAAACTGACCTCTGATGGCATAAGCCAAGTATGAGTTAGACACGGCTATTAAATTGCCATAGTAGTATTTGTGCTCCCAGTCATATTTGGCCACTGGCTGAATTTTAACCTGTAAGAAAAGTCATGAGGAAAAGATTTAGAGAATAAAATTTTTTTTCAGAGTTTCCACTCATTTTGACCTATTAAAGGGGTCCTATTATGCTCTTTTACAAAGTCTTGATTTTGTTTTGGGGGTGTACTAGAACAGGCTCTCATACTCGGTTGTTCGAAAAACATTATTTTTCACATATTTTACATTATTACAACACCTCTCTCCCCAGTCTGGCATGAACGGCTCGAATAGTTCCTGTAAATGATGCAAATGAAAGCCTGCCTTCTGAAATACGAAATGTGCTGTGATTGGTTAGCTGGGCCAGTGTGTGTTGTGATTGGCAGCACTCGGCGTCTGGTCGGGAAATGTCATGCCCCTTACCATAGCCGCCTGCAGCTTCAGTGTAAATATTGCTCAAAATCAAATCAATTTAAGCGCGATTTAAACCCAGATGATTGTAGCCACTCTAAGTTCGTCTGCCTTGGGAAAGCTAGCGTGTCTCCGACATAGTGATAACACTCGTTGCCTTCTCTAGTCCGACATATAGTGATAACACTCGTTGCCTTTTCTAGCGCAGCTCAACCAGGTCTCGTCCCATTCGTCGATATTTGTGATATCACAAATCCCGGAAAATATGCGTTGTAGTCCAAACAAGTCGTTCGTTGTAGTTTTTGAAAAGTGATTTCTGTTAAATAAAATATGACCTTTTGAATTAGACTTTGTGCTTTGTAACTTTGCAGATCTTTTTTATGCTCAAACAGCAACATTACAGAATAACTAAAGTTGAAAAAGTGGAAAAGCATAATAGCACCCCTTTAATATCTATGACTTTCCCAATAGTTTATTTTTAAAAATCATTATATAGCGATTTCTAGCCAAGCAAATATTTAATATCTGAGCACAAGTTGAAGATTTACGGACTAGAATTTTCCATGGTTTTCATGATTTTATTAATTTCAAATTACTTTTCCAGACCTGGAAATACAAAATGAAAATTCCCTGATTTTTCTAGGTTTTCCATGACAGTGAAAGCCTGAACTGTTAATAATAAACACTTTTGCACAAGTTCATTAATTTACACACCTTGTTGCTGCCACGAGCCTTACTGTCAATACTAGAGTCACGACTGGACACAATTTCCACATTGTTTGCTCTGATGGGGACACAGGTGGACCCATCGTCTCCTGAAAGACAGCTGGTACAAAAAAAAACAGACATATGGATTTATTGACAATAAAGAGCTCAAATTGTATTTATACCTATACATAAACCTGCTCATTCAACATACATAGGATGCATTAAACCAATTAAAAGTGACAGCAAAGACATTCATAATGTTCCAAAACATTTCCATTGCAAGATTTCTATGCAGTTCTTTTCAACTTTCTATTCATCACTGCTTCCACAAAAAAACTATTAAACAGCACAACTGTTTTCAACATTCATAATAAGAAGAAATGTTTCTTGTTCACCAAATCAGCATTTCAGAATGATTTCTGAAGGATCATGTGACTGGAGTAATGACTGCTGAAAATTCAGCTTTGTCAACACAGAAATAAATTAAATGTTAAAATATATTAAAACTGTAATACTTTTTCACAATATTAAGGTTTTTACGGTATCTTCAATCAAATAAACACAGGCTTGGTGACCCTAAGATATTTATTTAAAAATCTTGCAGATCCCAAACCTTTGAATGGTAGTATAAATATTATAAAGAAAAACATTTTAAGTCTAGTATATAAAAATTACAGTTCATAAAAAGATAATGACAATATTATAACACTAATGGTTTGCTAAAGAATGCATTTAACATTATATACAGTGTTAATGACAGCAAAACATACATAGTCTGCGTGTCCTGTCCATTAAGTTTGTCTGAGTTGTGAGTAGTTGGCTCCACCATTGCCGCAAGTCCTCCTGCTCCCATAAGATCCGCTCCAAGAACACCATTCAACTCTCCATTGAAAGATGGTTTTCTCTGGCTCTCTACCAAAGAGGGATCTGTGGAATTATATGACTGAAATCAAGTCGTAAAATTGCAATAGTGCACTCTCTGACTATTACTTTTGTGACTTTCAATGATGTGCATCACCATCTATGGTTGACTAACATTTCCCCTCCCATTAGTATATATTGATTATGTATTTTTTCCCCCACAAATATATATATATATATATATATATATATATATATAAATGTGTGTAACATTGTATATGCATTGTTCTAAAAACCTTGTAACGATGAACAAAAAGTTGAATAGGTTTTGAAACCGTCCTTTAGAATTGACATGTCTTCGCCTAGAAAGCTATAATGTCACGGTTATCAAGTCGCTGCATAGTGAAGAATATGCAATGCATTAAACTTTTGAATAACATGTATGTTCATGTCGCAATTAATACACAACTCTTTCTGTCTGAGCAAAGCTGCTGCTGCACCAGCAGGAGTTTAGCCCTTACATGCTACATTACCACTGCTTTTTTCAATCAAATTAACACACAAAACATGATGTTTGTCACTTATACAGTGTAGTTAGCGCTGTCCCGCGTTTTTGAGCGACTACAGACAGGTGGCTCGTGCTGAAACCAGGCGCTGCGCAGCATCATCGCGCCGCGGCCTAGCTGCTCCCTTCCCCGGCAACTTACCGGCCGAATTACCGGGACGATCCAGTTTTAAGATGTCCCGAAGGTGCTGGGTCGCGCCCTCTATGTCCATGTTGGAACTGGAAGCCATAAAGTAGGGAAGGGGGAATTAAACCACTGGAAACTCTCAAATTCTCAAGTTTAATTTTGTGTCTGAGCTCGCCTCATAAAAGCTTGCAACCGTCCGTAAACTTCCTTTGAGCGTTCCCTGCATTTCATTCCCCCGCCTCTGCTGGCAGGATTTTTTCGGTTCCGGAGTGAATCACCTAATTTGACAGGCACTCTTGAATAAAACTTTTGTTAAGAGAATCTTATTTTAGAGATCACTAATTCATACCTTTATATTTTTTTCTATATATTCATACCTTTATATATGAATTCATACCTTTATATTCATATTTATATTTTACTGGCGTGTTATTATAATTATTAAACGTATTATGATTACTTTTTTATTAGTGGTTGTCAGAAAATCACTTAAGAAAAATATATTTCAATTATTTCCTCCATCTATAGAAATAACGTAACAGCACACTTTAATTTGATCTCATTTATTTCCACATACATGTAGGCGACTGAAGTATCTCTTACTGTATTCACATTGTATTACTGTTGTTTTTGTTTGGAAAATCAAGTGTTCTTTTGCTCCTGCCCTTAAACCACAGAGAGTGGATATTTGCAGGGTCAAACAAGCATGAAGTACATGTACAATACATGTATTCCAGCAAAAATATAATGCAAGAAACATACTCATTATACTGATGTTCTAGCAGATCTGTCTAGATATTTCAGTGCAAAAAGCCACAATGCAGAAGACCTCTTTCTAAAATATCTGTACCATCACTTGGCACAAAGGCCTTCATATTTTGTGAATATGATTTTTCTAATCTGAAACAATGAACATAACTCCTTTAGTGTAAACATTTTGTGGAAACGAGAAAATAGTCATCTCATATTCCCACAAACTAGTCATGTTTCAGGATTTGTGTCTGTGATCCTTCTTGTACTGGAAATGTCCAAATATAACCCTAAATATGGAAGGTGATAACAGCTTTGGCCACACTACAAACTCGATGACATTTACATTCATACAAGCTTATGAAACATAACATCCCACATGCCATTACTTCAAGATTTGCATCATTGGAAAACAGGTGAAGCAAAACCTCTGAACTAAAACAAAAGGGCAAATGAAAGAATAAAAGTGCTGAGAAGATTCATCTGGGCTTTTTTCCCCCCCCCCGTTTTGTTTCAAACTCTTTCTTAACCTTGGCAAAACTTACGTTATTGATGTGGCATAACTAGAGGATGCTTACGATTTTTCCTCTTTAACAAGAGCATCCATTTATGATTCTACCATTTTTAAGGTTAGGAAAATTTTGGAAAACAATGACATGTAATCCGTTGCTAATCATAGTGATGTTCTACCAAATAAGCCAACGTTATTATTTTAGTCTAAATAACTGGTTCAGGAAACACTGGCCACCTGTAAAAAGAGAAATAACAGCTCCATCTTGTTCTGCTCTGCTCAAATAAATCTATATATAATCTTAATGATAGAATCTAATATGAAGCAGTATCAAAAACATGAACAGACAAGCATAGAAAAGAGGAAAAAAGTTAGATGCAAAACCAGACAGGGGGATGAACAAGATGATGACGTTAAGAAAAATTCAGATGTTTTATTGTGTATCTTGGCTTGGTACTTATTGTCACAGAACAGTGAGCAGAAAGTGGGAAAAACACTGGTCTGAGGGGAAGGGGAAGTTAGGGTGGTGTTCTTTGGCTAGCTAGAGCAACCTGACATCACACCAATTTTCAAGTGGGGCAAAAACAAAAAAAGATTTAAACTTCAAGGAGCATATTCTAAAAACAAGCTGAACACATGTTGTACTAAAGCAAAGATAGGCAGTAAGACGGTTGTTATTTCAAAGTCAAAATCAGCAACTAAATTGTAAATATCAAGCATCCGAGGTTAGGTCAATATGTTTTCGTTCTGGTCAGGGCGTCCTCTGATATTTAAGTTCTCCTTCATCATGCAGGTTGGCGAAGGAAAAGGGTCAGTTTGATGGATGTGTGGGCTTTCAGCAAAGAAACATGTCATTTCTGGAGTAGAGGCAGTACAGTATATGCCTGCATGTTTTCTGTGATTGACTGCTGTAATCCGGAGCTGTTTCTCTTGAGTGGGATGATTGACAGGTTCAGGCGTCATCAGGGCGGAACCCCATCCTCCACCTTCCCCCACTTCCCTCCTGCTAGCCATGGGGCGTTTAACCAAAATTGTGCAGCGCCAGGCGGAACATGTCATTGGTGCAAACCCAAGCCTCGTTAATGTTCTTCAGGATGAAGCTCTGATGGAATCCCATGATGGGGTCATCATCTGCCTAGACAAAGCAGAAACACAGAGGAGACTTAAACGGAGGCTCTCATACAACTGCAACACTTCATTAAAGAGAAGGGAATTAAACCTGGGGTAAAAATTCAAATGCTGTTAAACTAAAAACATGCAAGTTTTCAGACATGTTCAGCAAGTTTTAAAGCATATTAGTTCAGCTAAGTAAAGACAAAAGCTGCATTAAGGAACCACGACTAATTAAAGGCTCATAGTCTGTCACAATATTCACTTTTTTTTCCAGCTAAAGACAATGTTACATAATTTTTTATTCTCAGTTCTCATAATGTTACATAATTACAGCATACTTTGGTCGATGATGGTGAAACAAATAAAAACATGACAAAATGTGGTGGGGTAAACAATCTGGGTCAGTTTCTCACAAACTTAAATTGAAATGATCTTCACTAATGAATCGCCACAAATAAAACAATGATCCAAGACAAGGCATCACCTACTGTATGTAATGTAAACTGGCCATATATTAAGTTATTATGACCATGTTTTTATTAAATACACACATGCCACATACTGATGGAACTCGAACAATTATTTTAAAGAAGTCACAAGGTTATAAAATGCTTTTTGTGCAAGATAATCCAAACAACTCTAACTAAAACAATATTTTTTTTTGTTAATTAAAAAGAAAGCTGAAATCAAGTAAAAAAAAAAAAACTTAAAATTAAAAAATAAGTTGAAGTACTAAAATTACTAAAACTAGAATAAAAATTAAAAAAGAAACCTAATAAAAGTGACAAAAGCACAAAATTACTAATACTTAAACTAGAAAGAAAATATAAAAAGTAATTCAAAATCATGATTTTATAACACTTATTTTACCCCAATAGTCAATCTCTATTCATTTCTATATCATTTTATGCTGCATCTTTATAAATAGAATCTAAAAGCTCAATAGAAACACATCTGATCTTAAGTATGCCATGTTTCACCCATTTTGAACAATGTCACGTTAGTTTTTCATGTGAAGGAACTCTGACTAAAATGCAGAACACTTCATTATAAAGTATTAGATGCACATAAAGACAGGTCAAAATAAAAGCTGATTGTTATGCCCGTTTCACACATACTCTGTTTGCAGTGCATATGAGGTGTGTATTTTTTTCTGTGCCCATGTTAACAAGGTAGAGCATTCACACTGCACACGGATGCGGTCCGGCAATGTGCTCCAGGAGTGGTGCATATGCAGCAGTGCAGCTATTGTTTTCACATCGAGTCTATTTTTGCTGTGCTGCACGCTCTGAATTAAAGTGACAGCGCATTGTTCGGGGTAAAAAATTAACATGGACTGACGCTAAAATATAGCATAAATGCACATAATTAAAGTCTACTGTGTTTCACAGTCAACACATGGCTTTTTGGCTAGGTTTAAAGCCAGAGGCCCATTCTTCGTACGTCGCTAACTCAGTTAGCTGGATTTGATTGTTGACAATTTGGCATGATCTTGGATTATTTGGTTCTTCGAAGCTCATCCTGGACTTGCTGTCATAGCAACAGGTCCGTAAACTTAAACCTGCCCGATTGCATCTTTTTAAGAGGAATTTATATTTAAAATCTGTCCCAGCCACTGCTACTCTATTACAAGAGTACCCTACTAATCCTGGGACAATCATTTCAAATAATAATAATTTATAAATTAATTTGAAAATAATATTATAATGTTGTGCAATCTATAATACTATAGATACAGCCAGTTTTACTCACTGAAATATTTATTCGTGATAAAATAATTACTTTATAATTGTATTAGTCTTACACACATGCTATACAGTTAATCTGAGTCGTGAATTAATTTTTAATTTGGTGACAGCTATTATGGGAGTGGCTTGATGGAGCGCAGGAGATGCAGATAACTTGATCTTGACCCTTAAGAAACTTTAATTAACGCTGTCACATAACAAATCTGCTTCAAAGATAAAATTACATGAATTGCTAATTACAACACTGAAATAAGTAAAGCCTGTACAAATACTAGAAATCGTGAATATAAATAATTGGGAATCATGTAAAAAAAAAAAAATAATAATAATAATAAATAAATAACAACAGTGCACATTTTATTTATTTATTATAACATTTATGTAGTTTTGTTCACTTGGCTGTTTCCTTATAAAGGTCCAGAAATTTGTCAGGTGTTTTTTTAAATTATATGATGTCATTATGTTGCTGTCTTGCGGCCAGCCAATCGCTGCATTGCTGATCGTGGTTTCGAGTAACGGTACATCTGCCCTTTACGGGGAACATGAGAACGCGCACTAATCTTAGACAACTTAATCCAGATATTTTAATCAAATCCACAAATTCGTTTGAAGAACCAAATTCGCCAGAGATCAGTTATCACGATTAGAAGATCTGGCATCTTTCAAATAATCTCAGATGTGTTAAGCGAGGTACGAAGAACGGGCCCCGGGAAAAGTGCACTTTTAGATAAGCAAGGTAACATAATAAATGACACTCGTGGAGGTAGAAAAAACTTCATGACCGGCACAATTGCTTGTAATAAAGATTTAAATGCAAAAGAAAATGCACGAGAGTCGAATGCTTCTGTCAGTGGCAAGTTTTCATTTAAAATGTTTGTGATAGCCTACTAACTTTTACTGTAAGAAAACTAAGCTATAGGCTGTGTTTAAATGTTTTGCCACTTGCTTGAGCAACGTAATATATAAATCTAGTAGTAAAATGCATTGAATAATGCGTTGTTTAAATTTATTGCATTTAAATGTGAATATGTCTATGAAAGACTGTATTACTGTACTGTGTAAAAAGATAATCACAATGCTGAAACAGCATTTTCAGTAATAACGTTTGGATTTCAAATTAAAATAATGGATTAATGTTGAATTTGTGGTATACAGCCGCAGGATCAGTAGCAGACTACAAATGCACAATCAGGCCGTGCTGCTTCTTCACCGCATAAGTACCGCACACAGAATGCACACACACTGCAAAAGGAGTCCAAAAAACACACCATGCAAACCTGCATGAACAAATAAGACATGTCATAGCATACTAAATCTACACAGACGCTTGATCTGAACACAGCTGTTAGTAGAGAGGCCCGTACGCTGTGCGTGAACCCAAGTGGACACTGGTCCTTACAGACATTAAGAGAAGGAGGAAAGGCCATGTGACCAGCGAGAGCCTTTAAGTTCAAAGGTTGTGCAGGGCAAGCCTGAAGACTTCATTGGTGCAAACCCAGGCAGTGTTGATACTTTTCAACAGAAAGGTCTGGTGGAAGCCCAGCACCTGGTCATCGTCCGCCTGATAGACAAACACACATACTCTACAGCTCTGAAATGCTTATACAATCTTTGACTACACAGTACTGTGTCACATAAGGTGGAGCGAGAGGGCAATCAAGAGAGGCTTAAACTGTCCACGGCCACTCTCGATTCAAATGTCACTGCGATTAAGGTGATGTTATGCATTTCAAATGGGGAGAATGACCTCCTAGACCTTATCAAATACATATTTGTCTGAAGTGTTCACCTCAAGCGCTGCTGCAATAGCATAACTGTCAGAGGTCAAAATTAAATTTAGAAAATACTTACTTTTAGTTGGCCTACTACCATACTCAATATGCAGCTATCAGGGGTGGGCTGATGGTCTTGTGCTGTGATGCTGTGAGCTATTTTTGTGAAGGGCAGGCTCTGAAAAAAAGGTAAAAACAAAAAATAATGTATATCATTACTGTTTAAACTGAAAGATATTTAATATCTTGGCATATTGGCGAGCAAGACGGCACTGCGTATGGCTGCCTTGGTGAGGAGCTCTCCAGTTGTTTTAATTTTTTTGTTAGTTTGTCTTGTCTGAGGTTTTTCAAAAACAATAAGTTTTACCAGGGATGAACTGTTAAACATTTGACAGTACACACCACACATCTTCTACTGATTTTTGATTACTCGGGCATTCAGCTGAACATTGTAGTTGGCGGAGCAGCGGCGGGAGTTTTCCTCATTCATTCTCGTAAGAATGATCAGAACGCAGACACAGAGCAACAACATCCGAACTCTGTTATAATCATTCTCAGGGACTTTAATAAAGCAAACCTCACAAGTAAACTGCCAAAATACAGACATCACGTTACATGTCCTACCAGAGACAGTAATATACTGGACCACTGTTACACCACAATAAAGGATACACATCACTCTGTCCCACGGGCAGCTTTGGGGCTCTCTGATCACTGTGTGGTTCATCTTATACTGACCTAGTACAGGCAGAAACTGAAAGCAGCTAAATCTGTAATAAGGGCTGTAAAAAGATGGACTAATGAAGCAGAGCGGGATTTAAAAGCCTGTTTCGACTGCACTGATTGGAGTGTTTTTGAAGCTGCTGCCACCGATCACGACGAGCTCATGGATTCTGGACATCATACATCAGTTTCTGTGAATATACAGTATCTCACAGAAGTGAGTACACCCCTCACATTATTGTAAATATTTTATGTACTCACTTTTGTGGCCAGCGGTTTAGACATGTCTGTGGCTGTGTGTTGAGTTATTTTGAGGGGACAGCAAATTGACACTGTTATACAAGCTGTACACTCACTACTTTACATTGTAGCAAAGTGTCATTTCTTCAGTGTTGTCACATGAAAAGATATAATAAAATATTTACAAAAATGTGAGGGGTGTACTCACTTCTATGAGATACTATAGGTGCATCCCTACCAGGACTCATTTAACTTACAACGACAAACCGTGGTTCACTACAAAACTCAGACAGCTTTGTCAGGCCAAAGAAGATGCCTACAGGAATGGGGACAGAGTCTTGTATAAACAGGCCAAAAACACACTGACAAAGGAGACCAGAGGGGCTAAGGAACTACTCCGAAAAGCTGACAGTTTTCTGCCAATGACCCTGCATCAGTGTGGAAAGGACTGAAAGACATCAACTACAAGCACTGTGGAGAATCAACAACTGGCCGACGATTTGAATGTGTTTTATTGCAGGTTTGAAAAACCCTGTCTCACACCCATTCTGACCTTCTCTCCATGGATCTATTAACACCTCCAGCAACACCCCCTCTCCCACCCCCTCCTGCACTTCAGGTCTGTGAAAAAGATGTGTGTCAGGTCTTCTGGAAACAGAAGAGAAAGAAAGCACCAGGCCCAGACGGTGTTACACCAGCCTATCTAAAAACCTGTGCTAACCAGCTGGCCCCCATCTTCACACAGATCTTCAACAGATCACTGTAGCAGTGCAGAGTCCCTTCCTGCTTCAAACTCTCCACCATCATCCCCATCCCAAAGAAACCCAAAATTACAGGACTAAATGATTACAGACCTGCGGCTTTAACATCTGTGATGATGAAGTCATTTGAAAGACTGGTCCTTCAGGTGGGCCAGCACATCACTGGACCCTTGCTGGACCCCCTGCAGTTTGCTTACCGAACAGGTCTGTGGATGATGCAGTCAACATAGGACTGCATTATATCCTACAACATCTGGACAGATCAGGGACTTATGTGAGGATCCTGTTTGTGGACTTCAGCTAGGCCTTCAACACTATTATCCCAAACCTCCTCCTGTCTAGGGTTGAGTACCGAACTCGGTACTTTTAAGGGTACCGACCGAATTGCATCGGTACTACCGAGTACCAATTCACGTTAAATCAATCGGTGCCAAATTTTGGTACCTGAGAATGCATCTGGGTGCATACACTACAGAGAGAGAAAGAGAGACCCTGTGACGTGATGTCACCCCTGCAACTCATTCAAACAACACACAGGGCAAGCCGAAATGTTCTGAAGTGTGGTTATATTTCTAGCGCCATAATGGTTTCTGCGAAAACGCGGACGGGATCGTGGAGTCCATTCATATAAACGTAATTTACTTAAATGGCGCGGAATGCCACGGAATTCGTCAATTTTGGACGAATAAATCAAAAGTAGGTCTGCCACTTCATTCTAATCGCGATATGAACTAGTGTCTGTGAATATTAAAATGCAAAAAGACAGTTTAAATATGAATCCTACATGTTCCGCTTGCCTCTGTATATATGAATGGCGGACCTCCCCCGGCAACTGTTTTTTGTTTGTTATAATTTGGCCTATCTTTTTCTTTTCTTATTTTAATGTTGTTTTCTTGATAACATATTGTGTGTTATTGTTCCTTGAATAAAAAAAATAAAAATAAATAAAAAATGTATGAATGGCGGAAACGCGGTTTTGTTTACAATAAATGTTTAATGCCTTCATTTGATTTTCAGAAAAATTAAAATAAGAATTTCTGGGGGAAAAAAAAAGTTTTTAGGGCCCTATTGTTAAAAATGTTGAAATTGAGACTTTTGGACTTATTTTTTCACTGAAATAAATGTTTTTGTAATTACACAGAGTAAACGTTGGGTACCGGCACCGAAATTCAGGTACCGATACCGATACCGTACCGGTTAAAATGTGAACGGTACCCAACCCTACTCTGGTCCAAATTAACTCTCTGTACCACCTCTGTCTGTCAGTGGTTCACCAGCTTCCTGACAGACAGGCACCAGCTAGTAAGGCTGGGAAAATTCTCATCCAGCACCCACCCCATCAACTGGCGCCCACCATCTCTCAGGACCTGAAGTTGGAGTTCCACATAGACTCTATTGTCACCAGCTGAGGAAGTTCAACCTGCCACAGGAGCTGCTGATACACCAAGAGCTGCACTCCTCCAGAGTGAGAAAAAGAGCTGGCAAAATCATTCTGGTACCCTCACACCCAGCCCACTTCCTCTTTGAACTGTTGCTGTCTGGTCGGCGCTACAGAGTACTGAGCACCAGAACAGCCAGGCATAAGAACAGTTTCTTCCCTCAGGCAATCTATCTCATGAACAGTTAACTTGGCAGTAAATGTGTAATACACAACACTATTTATTTAACACGCATACCTTTTTTTTTTTTTACATTTGCTTGCATTTGTACATAACACACCTGTACACACAGATACCATCCATTGTCTACTTTGTATATTGTGTATTTTTTTAAATATTTTTTGTATATTGTTATTAACCTATTTTTATTATCTGTGTCTCTTGTCGTGGTCCTTCTGTTTGTGCTGTGGAAGCTTCTGTCACCAAAACAAATTCCTCGTACGTGTAAAAACACCTGGCAATAAAACTCTTTCTGATTCAGATATACAATACATATGATAGGGTTGTGATGGTGAGGAAATTTTCCCATCGGTTAATCGACGTGTGACAACACCGATAATACCTGTATCACCGTGGGGGCAGGGGCGCTCCTCGCTTTCCTTCGCTTTTAAATAGCTTGCAAAAGCGGCGTGCGCATTTTACTTTCACTTTCAAATAAAGTAAAATTCGGCGTAAAGCAATTGTTTGTTTTTAGTTCGTTTGAATTTCCCCTCTTTTCCTCACTTTCCTTTGCTTTTAAATAGCTTAAAAGCACCGTGCGCATTTTACTTTCACTTTCGAATTAGCGGCAATTCGGCATCAATTGCTTGAATGCAACAACAAAATACAACGTCAAACTCACTTTAGCCTATATATAAAACATAGAATTTTATTAACAAAACGAATAAAAATACACCATGCTATAGGCAGGCTATGCCTAATATAAAATAACAAATAACTTACATAAAGTTTAAATAGGTAGCCTATACAAAACTGGAAATACATAAACATGTCCTGTACCCACAGATACCATCCATTGTCTACTTTGTATATTGTGTATTTTTTAAAATATTTTTTGTATATTGTTATTAACCTATTTTTATTATCTGTGTCTCTTGTCGTGGTCCTTCTGTTTGTGCTGTGGAAGCTTCTGTCACCAAAACAAATTCCTCGTACGTGTAAAAACACCTGGCAATAAAACTCTTTCTGATTCAGATATACAATACATATGATAGGGTTGTGATGGTGAGGAAATTTTCCCATCGGTTAATCGACGTGTGACAACACCGATAATACCTGTATCACCGTGGGGGCAGGGGCGCTCCTCGCTTTCCTTCGCTTTTAAATAGCTTGCAAAAGCGGCGTGCGCATTTTACTTTCACTTTCAAATAAAGTAAAATTCGGGTCAGCACCGTCTATCGCGGCAAGCCTAACATATGGTAATTAAACATCTGATCAATATTTAATTGGTGATGCACACTATATCTTCGATTTGAGAGATTTTTTTGGTATTGGTATTTATTGGTATTGGTTGATAGTAGGGGTGTGCGATATTGACAAAAAATTATATCTCGATATTTTATGGGATTTTATCGATAACGATAATTAGACGATATTTTGCTGAGTGTGTTATTGTGCTGGTACCTTAAGGACTGCTGAAGACAGCTGACTCCTAATGTTTTTAATATTCTTCATATTCTGTGTGGTGGTCAGTTCATACTGATAGAAATTAATCTTTTCCAATAAGTTTAAACTGATTTGTGGTGACTATTTGGAATGATTTTTGGTTGGCGAAATGGAGCAAAAAACAGGCAATATGGTGTCTAAAACGTAAGTCTCTTAATTAACTTATTGTTTATTGAATTCAATGTCACATTTGTAATCATGGTAATTTTTGGAGAAAAACGGCACTCTTCGTGTGAAATTGAATAACTATATGAAGTGGTATAAATATATACATTTTCTGCCATCGTGTCTTGAATTTGTGATCATTCTAAATGCATTTTAATAGACTGAATCATGCAGTGAAAGTACGCACTCTAAATGCGCACACGCACTAGTCTAGACTTCACGTAATGTATGCGTGCACTCTGTAGGGATGTTTTGAATGGTTTTTGCAAAATACTCGATAATGTCAAATCGCACATCGTTAAAACAACAATTACGATATTATCGCAGACGATATATATCGCACACCCCTAGTTGATAGTGCGAAAACTCCCACCCTCTATTTTCAAAAATGAATTAGAGGAAATGAACCCTAACCAATCAAACCGTCAACGCTAACAAAACACACGCAAATACTTACGGAAAGCTTTTCGACAATTGCGGCTTTTCCCTGGAATTGCTGACCCTCCCACGTAAGGCATGACGCATCAATCTAGGACAAGAAAAAAAAAGAGCATGTAGTTGAGCTAAAGCCGCTAAAATGTAGACAGCAAAGCAGTACTGTGGCCAGTCTTTTAATAAATACATATTAAATCATTTATATAAATACTCAACAAATATCCCTCAATATAAGTATTGTTTAACATATATTTGACATACTGTTTAACATGTGTTGCTGAAAATATAGGTTCATGTATGAGCACTTTAGGCTTTTTAAAGGTCCAGTACAGAACCACATTTCTGGCCTGAAAAGATTCCTCTGCTGAACACATGACAAAACTTGTTTGTTACTGGGCATCTAGCGTCACTCTGCAAGACATAAACCAAGTGACCCTTTGAACTCTAACATGAAGGCAAGGCAGAGTCAGTAAAACATTTCTACTTGACATCTCTCTCGACTAAGGGACTAGTCAAAAGAGAACTATCCTGAAGAAAAGAGCTTAATACAATACTCACATATATCGATCCAAGTTGAGTCCTGTCTGTGTCAAACAGCTGATAGTAATGTTGCACAAAGCTGGATCCTATTTGTTCCCAAATTGGCTTGTCTCCCATTCTGATTCACCCTGCTACAGGCACTGGTGGAGACAGAATAAATGACTCAATGTATATGACAGACTGAGGGTTGACAAAAACTGACAGACAGAAAAAAACAGAAACTTTCATCTACATTTAAAGGTGCACTGGCTTTTAAGCCTATAGTACCAGTGAGTACCAGTGGTCACTATAATTTGTATTGTGTTTGTTACACTGTTGGGCTTGTTAAGATGTACTTTTGTTTACAATTGAGGGCATCACACACTGATTGAAAGCAATATGTGAAGTAAACTTATCAATTGCATGATATGGCTGGTCATGTGATGACAAGATGGCAGAGCCCATACTGGAGCAACCTGCTCCATGTAGTAAATAAACAACTTTAGATAGGAGGACAGATAGTAATTTGATGCGAGTATAAATAGGCTAATTTTAATAATTTTTCTCAAAGTGCTGTTCCTTTGTGTGTAAAGTTTTTAATTGGCAAAATTAACGATACTGAGTGCACCTTTTTTGTTTTTCTGGCACTAAATAGACCTTATAAAGCCACACCTCTGTTCAGTGCTGAGCTCATTGTCTTGTCTTCCAGACTGTATTTCCACAGCATGAAGGTAAGATCTTACGGATTTATGAATGAACCGCTCATTGTAAAATCTTCCCGGTCTACTGACATTTGTTATGACATCCACTTTGAATACTACAATGCTTATGATAAGTTTTGTTAAAGCTGCAGTCCGTAACTTTTTTTGATTAAAAATGATCCGAAATCAATATTTGAGCAAGTGCATGCCCAGCCAGTGTTCAAAACTATCGCCTTACTTTAGCCCGATTCACAACGGTTGAATACGGCTTTGCTGCCATACCATGGGTGCAGCAGGCGCAATGATATTACGCAGCGCCTGAAAATAGGCTAACTTCCGCCAACATAACCAATAGTGAATTGGTGGGTTTTTGTAAATGTGAGCCAAAATCATCACAATTAAAAGAACCAAAGACTTAAACTACTTCAGTCTGTGTGCACTGAATTTATTTAATACACGAGTTTCACAATTTGAGTTGAATTACTGAAATAAATGAACTTTTCCACGACATTCTAATTTATTGAGATGCACCTGTAGTGGAGTGTTCCTTTAATCCTGTTAAAGTCAAGTGGATTCTGATTGGCTGTCAAGGTCTTTATAGTTCACCTGCTAGAAAAATTAATTCAGTTATTGCTCCGATATCGGTCCTCTGTAGCGTTATGGTTATAGTTGTGGTTTGGACTTCTTATAGAATTAGAATGATTATTAGCACTTTATAATTGTTGTCCTTAAGGCTTGTACACACAAAGAACAATAACTATAAAGATAACTGTACTGATAACTATATTAGTGTTCACATCAACACACAATAAACCTCTGATTATTATAAAAGTTATCTAAATGCTTGAGCTCTTTAAAGTTGGATTGTTATAGCAGTAGTGTGTACCGTACCCTATTCTCCATTCTTTTCAATTTAGAATGATTTTTAAACTATATATTTATCGTTATAATTATTGTCCTTGAAGTGAACGGGCCTTTAGTGTGAACAGACCTTTATAAACACCTTTCTATTTAGAAGCACATGGAACACACTCCTGCTCCACCCTTTTAAAAAACCTATACTGATTTGTCAGCAACTTTCAAACTTAAACATATTAATAACTCTAATATCTATAGTTTCCACTGACATGTGACATCTAACAAGTAGAGTTTTGGAATACAATGCGTCTTTAGTTATTTAGAGCATTTGATGACAACTCTCTATAATTACACTTTCTTGCATACATTAGTAATTGTATGAATGACAATAACTACACTAACCAAGCTAGTTCGATTACTGTCAAAGTCGATCAAAATAACTGACATATAAAAGCATTCGGCTGGATTTTAGAGACTCTTAGCACTAGTTGGTCGGTTAGCAAGTACTAACTTCATTTACAAATCAATCAGTGACCATATGAAGATGTCCAAATTGTGGTTAAAACAATTTCCGTCAAACTACTGCCACTATTTGGTCAAGAATGCCACTAACCATTAAAAGTAGCCATGCTAAGATTATTAGCTAGCTTTCAATGGTCTCGCTGTGGACTGACTGATTAATTTTAGCTTTAGCCGCAGACGTGCTAACACTGGGCTGTCTGTCTACAACAAGCTCACCGGCTAAATCGTGATGGGAAAAAGTTGTGTTTTACGTTGAAGTGGCCTTTGCCTTTTGAATATCGACTCGGAGTTTGAATAGTAACGATCAACGGTCAACTTAGACCAAACGCACCCTCGTTCCGTTCTAAAAATACCCCAGAGCCATATGAGCTGAATGCAGGCGCGACACCCTCCTGTCCTATAGGCGTGTCCTATTCGCTAGCGTTTCAGATTATTCTTGGCAAAAAGCCTCAGTGCTACTTTGCATAAAGTAGTTATAAAGTAGTTATGTGCAGCGTAAATGCAACGTTAACTGTTATAAATAATACGTGGCCAACATCTTACCTCCGTGAGCCCTAAACCGATTCCCCGGTTCCAGTTATGGCGATTCCAGCGCGCGGAGAACAGAAGTTGAGCGGCCTCTTCAGTTTGAGCATGCGCAAAGCGCTTACACACTGCTTTGAATTTTGGTTCTTGACAGCCAGTCAGTGTAAACATGTTGTCGATTAGTGATGGGAAGTCCGGTTCTTTTCTGCGAACCGGTTCTTTCGGACAGTTCGTTTCAATGAACCGGTTCAAAAACGGCTCACCGGTTCTTTTACGTCCTCACGTACGATATAGTCTTATAAAGTCAGTAATCATAACTTCAATCAGTTTAAAACATCATCAACATCTTGGATCCTACATTTAGGTTTTGTTAAAGCACCCAAATACAGGCAATGATGTGCAACCGATATTTTACATGTCTTAGAGATAGATATAAAGTGAATAAATTTGTCTTATGTGCAACCAATATTTTACATGTCTTAGAGATAGATATAAAGTGAATAAATTTGTCTTATGTGCAACCAATATTTTACATGTCTTAGAGATAGATATAAAGTGAATAAATTAGTCTGATGTGCAACCGATATTTTACAGGTCTTAGAGATAGATATAAAGTTAATAAATTAGTCTTATGTGCAACCGATATTTTACATATCTTAGAGATAGATATAAAGTGAATAGTCTTATGTGCAACCGATATTTTACATGTCTTAGAGATAGATATAAAGTGAATAAATTAGTCTTATATCAGCGTTTTACAGAAACCACGATCCACTTACTATGCATAATCCAGTCCTATTTATTTGTAATTAAACTTACGTTTAATATATAATTCAAGTTCACCCGCGTTCACAGAATCATACAGCATCAGTACCATCAGCAACCGATTCTTGACTCGAGTACGAGAACCGCTCGAAACGCTTAGAAACCATATCTGTGCAGTTTCTCTTCTATTTACAATCTGTGGTTGTAAATTCTGTTCTGTTAACTCAAATTACATGTGCAGAAAATTTCAGTTTAGTTTTCAATTAGTCTCACAAATGCAGTGCTTCTTTGCATTTAGGCCTACCAGGTGGAAAATTGAGCTCTTGTTAATAATAAATCACATTAAATTGTAAAAAATCAACAGAATAAAACTGACAAGCAAATAAATATAAATGTACCATTTTACTGACCTAAAAATAATTATGAAGTAATCTGTACCGGACAATACAAATGAATATAGCTTTGTTGATTTAGATGTAAAATGGCAGTTACTTTTCTTTTTAAGCAAAAGCAAAAAATAAAAACATGTTAAAGCAGCATGCAGAGACATGAGGCTATTTAAACGATTTTTTTAATTATTTAATTATTGTGTCATTCTTGATATGTGATTTATCTAATTACATAACAATATGCAAACTATTAATACAGAGGTGTTTCTATATCCTAGTGCTGTGCTTGGTTTATATGTGTAGTGTGCTATAAAAAGATTGGAAATGTGCTTGTAACAAATGGTCATCACTTTGGCCCTGCCCTTTTTACATTAGCCACAGAGAGACGCTGTAGCACAACGTCTGTGTTCAAAGCTGGAGCTTGTAATTCACACTCCTTTGTCTGAAAAGCTACACTGATATTCCAGTCCAGAGTTTCAGAATCCAGTGAGGGATCGATAGCAGGGTTCCCACTCTTTCATGAACACCAGATTCAAGGACTTTCAAGGACTTTTTAAAGCACCATTTATTTTATATCAAGCACCTATCAAATTCACACCCCAGCATATGTAGTGTCATGAAGGACCTTACATTACTTAACAGTTCACTTACACTTAACATTTACATTAAACATTTCAGAGTAATAATGTTTTGAATGTGTAGGTTTCATAAATTTAGACTGTTTTGAGCAGTCGCTTAATTCTTCACATTAATTCTTAAATCTTTTGCAGTTAACGTGCCTTTTCTTCTCCACCTGTTTTTTTTCTGACCCCGCCAGTGGCGTAGACAGGGGAGGGGCCACGGGGGCACTTGCCCCCCCTGAAAACTGATTGGCCCCCCAGTGTGCCCCCACCCTTCAACGTGTCTGTCAGTCAAAAATTCAAATCATATCTTTCGGCTAGCATTTGAATTCTGCGATGATCTGAACAACTGGAGCTGCTGTTTTCCAATTAAAAAAGCACATGGTAAGTTGATCTATTTTATATTCCTTATTATTATTTTTCAATTGGCGAGTTGTTGCAGCACTAGATTTTGGTACCGTCTTTCAGTGTTAGGACAGACCAGGTTTGATGTTAGTTCCTAGACCAAGATAATAATCAGAATGCTCCGTGGCTGAATGTAATACATAATAAATAATTAACACAATTAAGGTTTTCCTGCTTTGAGATTTATTTTTTTCGGTCGATACTGAAGTGGTCTTGAGTTAACGTTACGTGACTGCACTTGCGAATTTAAAGATTTCTAATAACTTGACTTTGATTTGAGAACTCTAAATTAAATCTAAATTAAATATCGCTTGACTCGATATGACTTTATAAGAATTATAATTAAACAAAACAAAACAAAAAAATTAAAAATCTTTGCGACAATAGCCTATACAAAATGCAAGCCACAGAGGCCTCTGGTCAGATCTATGCGGCTGCATGACGCTGTGCAAACACAGAACAATATAGGGGTAGAGAGAATCTACGAACAAATTTTGGGGTATGCACATTTTGCAACGCGAGCATGACCTCGAACTTCGTTCACCACATGTACAGAATGGGTATGCACCTGTTTCTTATAGATTATTTGACTAATATCTAGAGATTATTAAGATATTTCGTATGTGTAGCTTGTGTTTTATAAACCTTGTTAATAATCATTAATAGCACGTTTTGTAGTTTCAATAATGTGACCAATGTCAAATTTAACGTTTCGTTTAGAAACTTAGTGCTTTAAACCGTTCACACATATTTAGTTTCTGTCATCATTTACTCTTCCTCATGTTATTCCTAACCTTCATGATTTCCTTTCTTCCATGAAACAAAAAAAAAATAATAAGTAAATAAAATGCTTTTGTCCACTGTAATGAAAGGCAGTGGAAAACAAATCAAGCTCTATTTTGATCACCGTTGACGTTTATTATATACAGTATGGACAAACATTCTTCACAATTCGAGGACACTTAATTTCCAGAGATATCGTCGACTTGACTGCACAGACACTATTTAAACTGAACCGAGCTGGACCTTGACATCACTAAATTCAATAATGAAATGCCTGAACTGAAAATTGAGTGTTTAATCTTGTCATTTTACATAATTGACACACTATTTTCCTATTTGATACTGTACAGTGCTTTGACACAATCTGTATTGTTAAAAGCGCTATATAAATAAAGGTGACTTGAC